TGAGTGCTTATATACATTGACGTATGTATACATTTGTGTGCAAATAAATTAGACATATTTAAATAAGGATCAACAGAAAATTTAATTGGTAAAGAATCAAATGTCATATCAAACAAATACTTATGGCAATACATCATTATTATCAGTTACATATACAGCTTTCTTGGGAATGACATATTAAATATTTTGTAACGTGTAAACGATGTATTTGTCCATAGTTTACAGTTACATGTAAGTCAGCTCTGGTGGGACTGCAACAACTTACGCCATATTGCATACATAACCAATTAATATGGGTAACTATTTTCTATGTCGATTCATAAAATATGGCAGTCAGCTTTCTGGCTGTTAGAATTATTTCACTAGTAAACTGCCGACTAAAGTGTACTCACTAATAATACGTGAACTGGTTCAGTCAGTCAATAACAACGTAGAACTTCGTACGTACGTACATCAGTTCGAGTTGCCACACCACATTAGCACAGAGATGCAGTTGTCGATTCAAATCCCGTAGTGGTAGAGATAGTAAGAGTATAAGCAGTAATCGGGAAAATTAGTGTTTGGAGATGTTATTTAAAGAGTATAATACAGTGAAATGAATTTGGGAAGAAAAAAAAAGAGACAAGGAGGAATAAGGAGATCAAAATTTGGGAGAACACAAAGAGTGGGTGCACATGCACTACTGCAAACGATTTTGAGCCATGTCATTCAGGGTCTCTAACCATCGGTTGCTATCATCTCGCGGTCCTCAACCAGGTAGTTTACACCTACCGACATGACTCAGTCTACTTGTCAGTGACTTCATGGATTTGTGCCATGTCTTGGCCTAAACGTCTGCTTTCTTCCAACCTACTCTTACACCATAAAACATCGCTCGTCGGAGAAGCCAGTGTTTGGGTACACGTAACACGTATCCCAGACATCTCAACTGATGAAGTTTCACTACTTCATCAATTGATTTGCCATCCTTACCTAGTACCCGTTTCCTAACAACTGTGTTACTTACTCGATGGTCCCATGATATACGAGCAATGTTTCGAAGACACCTATGATCAAATACTAGTAACCTACGAATATCCTCTACTCTTACCGGCCATGTTTCACTGCCATAAAGTAGGACGGAACGAACTGCTGCGCAGTAAACACGTCCTTTGGTTGATAGACGGATATCTCGCCTACGCCATAAATGACGCAAGTTGGCAAAAGCTAGTCGAGCCTTCTGTATCCGTGCTGAGATTTCGTCACACACTAAACCACAAGGGCTGATGAGACTTCCAAGATAAGTGAAGCGGTCGACACACTCAACTACTTCACTCCCTATCACTAGTTCGGGTGTCGATGTAACCCAATCCTGAAGCAACATTTTGCATTTCGAGGGAGAGAATCGCATCCCGAACATGCTTGCATTGTTGCTTAGAGTGGTCAGAAGACTCTGCATTTTGTCAGCGTCTTCACCAAATAAAACTATGTCATCAGCATATTCTAAGTCAACAAGTGAACCTCCCGGTAGAAGTTCAACCCCTGGAAATTTAGATGAGGAGAGTGTTATCTCTAAAAGTACGTCGACGACAAAGTTGAACAAGAATGGGGAGAGTGGACAGCCCTGACGAACACCACTTGAGGTAATCAATTCTGATGACAGTTCGCCATAAGCTCTCACTCTACCAGTTGTGTTCGAGTAGAGAGCCTTTATAAGGTTAATGTACTTCTTTGGTACTCCTTTCAGTGACAAACACTGCCATAGAACCTCACGATCAACAGAGTCGAATGCCGCCTTAAGGTCGAGAAATACTACCATTGTGGGGCGTCTGAATGTGTGTCTGTGTTCTAGAACCTGACGTAGTGTGAATATCTGATCTATACAACCACGTCCAGGTCGAAAACCGGCCTGGTTTTCTCTAATCTGCTCTTCACGAGCTTTGTTAGGCGTCGAAGTATTATTGAAGCTAATATTTTAGACACTATATTAGTCAAACTGATTCCTCTGTGATTGTCACAAGAGGACTTTTGTCCTTTCTTATAGACTGGCACAATCAGTGATTGAGACCAGTCAGATGGGATTACGTCCAGTTCCCAAATTCTACCTAAGACCTCAGTTAATCTCATTGCTAATACTGGACCACCATCCTTAAAAATCTCAGGAGTAAACCTGTCAGGGCCTGCTGCTCTCCCTCGTTTCAGATTTCCTATGGCTTTTTCAACTTCGTAAAGAGGGAGGACCTACATTAACTTGCCATTCAGGTTGACTAGAGATCGTGGGAAACCGAAGTGTGGCTGAAGGCCAGTTGAACTGATCCCTAAAGTGTTCTGCCCATCGATCCAATCTCCTGGATTGAGAATGAATAATATGTCCATCTTTCTCTGAGATTGTTTCGCTAACGGTCGGTTTCCTTAACGAGTCTGAACAATTGTCTGCTATTACCTATTGCCGCTGCCTTTTCCATCTCTCTTGCTTTCGCTACCCACCACTGTTCGCGATCATTGCGTAGACTTCTTGTCAGCTTGCGCTTAAGCTGACTCCGCTCTTCATTATGTTCAGAGCCAGGTGGAATGAGTTTCCGAGCATCTATCAGTGCGATAGATGCTGCTGAGATCCAGTGTTGCTCCCTAACCTTACGGGTTACCGTACTGCTGTTTCCACAGCTTTTCGGATATCATTCCATGCTGCATCGGGGTGGGCATCACATACATGGCTGCCTAACTGTTTTCCTAGTTGTTCCTGAAATATACTCTTAGCTTGACTATCATTAAGTAGGCCCTAAGAGGTTTCCTTGCAGCGTCTTTCCTACGTCCAGTAAGACGCAAGCAAATACGCGCTCGCACTAGAGCATGATCTGAATCTAGGCATGTGCTCCAGAATGAGCGACAGTCTTCTATCGAGCCCCTCCATCGGTGGCTGATAGCGATGTGATCTATTTGGGTCCAACGTTGGGACGAATTAGGGGGTCGCCATGTTAAAAGATGTTTTTCCTTATGCTTAAAGTTAGTATTTGCAAGGAACAGGCGGTTATCTGAGCATAGCTGCAACAGACGGTCGCCATTATCTGTTCTTTGAGCCACGACACCATAAGATCCACCTAGGTGTCTTTCCCTATCGCTTAGTTTACCTACTTGAGCATTAAAGTCACCGGCCACTATTACTACATCCGAGCGCCTAGCTTTTCGGAGAAGGTCCGAAAGCTTTCTGTAAAACTCATCTTTTACATCATCTGAGCTGCAGTCAGTGGGAGAATAGGCAGAGACGACGAAGAGGCAACGACGAGTGTCCCTATCTTTCCGGATTCTTACTGTTCCGTTCAGTCGGACAGCGCACAAACGACTGTCTACTGGGATCCACTCTAAGAGAGCTAGTTCTGCCCTAGGACTCAATGCTATACCTACGCCGGCGAGGCCACGGGAAGCAGAATCAGGGCTTCCAGATACACGAAGCGTAAATCGAGTCGGTTCTTTATTTTGGCATGGTGAGGTCAAATGAATGACGCTACTCGGATCCTGTATGCGCGTTTCGGAGACGCAGCACACATCGATGGCGCGAGATTCTAAAGTTTTAGCTAAGGAAGCCTGCTGTCCTATTTGGCAAAGTGTTCGTACGTTAAAAGCTCCTACGTGTAGTTTAGAGCGTGGTTTCAGGAGACCAGGAATGGCGTTCCACGTACTCGAATCGTTTGCCCTAGCGGTGCGAGGTGATAAAGAGACGTGAGGAGGGTTAGTCATGGAGATAAGAGAGGTATTAGGAGGTGTAGGAAGGATTTGAATGTGACCACCTTGGTCTCTTGTGCTGTTACGGGTATGAGGGCTGATGTCACTTCCCGGCTGCCCACACCGTGGAAGGGTATTTCTTGAGGAACCTGAAAAGGAAATTGGATTAGTGTTGGTCTTGACGACCTGGGAGCGTGACCGCAGAGCCCAAGGGACAACTGCTTGAGGCCGGTCGCGCACGGCCTTTTTGTGGAAGGTTTTTGACGTGTTAGCTCCGTTCTTCAAAGGGCCTTACCGCCGGAGACGGAAATCCGTGAGGTAAGGTGAGGTGTGACATTTTTAGGGTCGACCTTTTCTAACCCCACCCCTCCTTGTGGGAAGGCAGCATCGCTGTCATGCTGGTTGTCCGAGGGAAACACCTTACTGCTGTCACACCCCTCTACAGTCAGCAGTACGACTTCGCCCTCAGACCTTGAGTTGCTGCTTTTAGTCTTACCGTTCTCCAATCGACCTGCCTGGCATGGTAGAACCTACAGGAACATATGTTCCAGCCAATATAGCTCGGTTGGGTCATCACGATAGGCAAGCCCGACCACCGCGTCAAGGTAGCAGCTTCGGTCGGGACGTGAACTGGTTACAAATTTTAAAATAAGTAGTTATATCATCTTACCCAAATTATCAACTTAGACTATCTATTCTGTTGCTACTATTACAAAATTTCCAGACAACTCTACAAACGAAGCGTGTAGTTGGTTGGTGAGTTTTAAGAAACCGAGGTTTCTCTGTCGAATGAAATACTTTGGACTGTCTATTGAAAAAATTAGTGGAACCTAAAATGCTAATGTCATTATTATAATTCTAAGATTACAATAAATTGCATTTAAAAACAATATATTTTCACTGCTGGTCACTTGATAGCAGATATTACTTTCGTAGATTATTTATTTTAAATTTACTGAGAAAATAGAGAATTGCACGGCATTATTACAGATATTATAACAAAATTTGAATATAAAGGGTTACAGTTGGACGTCAGTAATCAATTTTTCGTTAGTGATAAGAATTTTATGGGATTAAATTCATTAATGGGTTTCTGTCTGAAAAGATGCATATTTTTAACTGATTAGACCGAATACCTAACAGTGTTAGTTTGCTATGTCTTTACATAACATGATGAACAAAACTAATTGGTTTCATTATATTTGGAATTTCGTATTTCTCCTAAATTTAATAGAATGTCATGTCCAATTATAGAAAAAAAATTGAGAATAAAATACAACAAGTTTGATCAATGCATAATTACCCAAAGATGTATATTTATTATTGTCATTATAATCCCAACAATTGGGTAAATAACAATACATAACACTGTTCATTTCTTTTATTGCTACACATATTGTACGTGTGTTGATAATATAAGAATAGGAGAAGCAGTTCGAATTATTATCTCAATTATTAATATTGATGGAAAGAGTCTATGTACACATTAAACAAACATCACTTCTATATAAATTTATCTTCACAGAAGCACACAAAGTGTATAATTAACAAAATATACAGTTTTATAATGAACTGATTGGAAGTGATTTCAAAAATCTCGTATGAAAGAAGAGAATGAAGAAAACGAAAAGGAAAGAAGAAATGTGAAGAAGGAAAAAGAGGAATAAAATAACTGACCCGGGATATTATTATATTCTGAGATCAGCAAAATGTTTCTCAGCTAACTGTAAAATATCTTTGGTTGAACTGGAGACTATTTCTTGTAATTGTACCTCCGTATAGGTAGATGACATTGCTTCTGAAAATCGAAAAACTCATTTGAAACCAAGTGGATATAATTAAAACAAAATATATCAAGTGTTAACTAACTAGTTCTTTTACAATATGTATTCGAAACAGAGTTAAAGCAGTGAAAATCTTATATTTACCGAAAAATTGGCAACGTAAAAAGATGAAATTAGGTAAGGAATTAAAATAAGTGGGTTGTATATTAATCATAAATGAAAGCTACAATGAGCTATAATAAGAAAAGACTTTGGGTTGCCAAAGATCAACTGCATATCTAATAACAATTAGTTTAAGACGAAAACCAGATAATAATAAATAAATTCTCCAATGTCACTAAACGATTAACTAACCTTAACAGTGTAAATATTATGTAGATTATTTGATCCTAACTAGATTATTACAGTTTGTCCTGAATAGAATAAGTCTGAAATATTTACTTTGATGAACTGTACATTTTATAGAATTGGGGAAATGGATAAATATGCCTTACAATTATTGAAGTCAGTATTTGAGAAAATAGGTATTATAACTACTGGACTATATGAATAAATTTATTCATTCAATCGATTGACATTTTCACTGAACAAAGTGAAGTTCTTGTTTGTAGCATTAAAATGTATCCTCGAATAAAGGCGTTTAGGAATCCCGATTGATAAGATGGTGGTTGGGGGTAGTCAGCATGAAACCCTGGACCCGGGTTTCGTGCTACTTGGCACTCGTCAGCAAGGTGTACCTGTATTATTCTTGAGGGAACTGACACCCTCTGACGGATTCGATCCCGTGTCACTCAGCTTCACAGTCAGAGACGTTATCACTGAGCTGTTCGGGCCGCGACTGATCTCCTGTAGGACTGAGATGTATTTAAATCACTGCGTGATGATAAATGTCCTGTATGTCAGGTCCTTTTTAGTGTAGATCGATTGTAAATCCCTATTGGTAATTTACGAGAAACAGTAAATTATTGTTAACTACATTTAAATTTTTCAATTCCTTTATCTCAAATTAAGGAACAAAACCTGACAAAAATGTAAAATAATAATCTGGTTGAAAGAACGGTTGGTTGTTTTAATGCGTTTTTTCACTGTGTAGGTAAGCTCTGAAGGAAACTTTATATGAAGTAAGCAACGAGTTACACATAGTTCGCGACTATTAACGTCATGTCTCGAGAAGAAACGTGCGTCTCAATGGAAAAAGGATTTAGAATATTGGAAGCTTCCATTGTAGGTTATGACTACCAATATTAGCAAAGCCTCATAAAATGACGGGTTCATTGCTAGGAAAAATATGTAGGGATGCTGACAAAAGCTAGTCAAAAATTTTCCACCCTCAGAATGATTATTTCAGTAACGTTGGGAAAAACCAGAATTCAGAAGTCATGAAAAGACAATAGCTAGAATAATAATATATGAACTTAGTTGCAGTGTACTTCCATTGTCAGAGGTTGTTACAATAGTCACTGGAAGCAGTCAGGAAGTTTGCATATCTGGATAGTTGTGTAATTGCTGGCAGTAGTGGGAATGGTGTAATTAAACTATTCGTAGTGAGAAGTCAGAGCAAACTTATGGTGGTATCTTTGGTAAAATATGGGTAAACAATGCACCGATGAGACGTATTCTCTCCAAGCCGTACTTACGAGTGTGTTTGACTGAAAGATTGTAAACTTCCAGTAGGGATAAGGTGCCGAAGAACCAGGCCTTAATTGAATGGATAATGAGTGACCTACAAGCTCATTTTTTTCTTGGTGTTATTATTGGATTTTGTATGACACACTTTTGAGTGCTTAATTGTACTAAAATTCATGTTATAAATAAACCAGTACACTTCATCACGAAAAGGACTTACCGGCTATAGCCGAACTAGTCTCTGGAGAGTACCATATAGTTAATATAAATTTCAATGATGCTTTAGGTCGTCTTTGACAACTAAGACAATAGCTATTCCTCTTGCGGTATTCGTAGTCTGAGTCCGACGTTGAACTTGAGTGCATACTGCCGTTAACCACTTCGCCACATTTATTAGGTGAATATGAACGAACTTCAGCGACCGGCTGACCACCTTCCATGAATTTATAGTCGAAATTTGATAATTAATCCTTCACAGAAAATTGGGTAACTAGTAAATTCATCCTGTGGGGCATAGAAAAGTAATAAAATAAATACAGAAGTTGGTATGGTAGTGGCACTCTAGAAGCTTTACGAAAAATGTACAGTATGACTGTATAGAATATTAGATTGATTACAATAGTTGGGGGAAATTGGAAATATTTTGTAACGACAATTTACAAATCCCGGTAGCCAAGTTACTGTCCATGGCACAAACTTATTGTAAAGAAAAGCGATACTATGGGGATGTCTGAACAGAAGTAGGGGGAACGGCGTGTTAAAACGAGATGAAATAGACAACCGCCAATTGCTAAAACCGTTGACTCATCTCTTCAAAAATCACTAGTTAGTTGTATTCTGGTATCTTGTCTATTGCAGACAGGAAAGGAACATAAACTAGATCGTTACTGTTTTGGGTTCTAAAGTATGCATACATAATGGCAATCGTAAAACGAATATTTCATTTAGTCTCTGAAAAGTATTCTACTCAATCGGTCAAAAACTTAAAGTATCTGAATTTTTAGGTAACAACACTAAAGATGTTTCGTTCTGAGTAAGCTTTACCAAGTCTGTTCATTGCTTATCTATTTATTCGAATTCGTCGAATATATTGCTTTTGTAGAACTTGGCTGCATAAAAGCACTCTGACAAGACGAAAGTAAATAAACGGAGAGTTTATGTTAAGATAAAACGCTTTAAAACGAATGCTTTGGGAGCTATGCGTCAAACACAAGAGCACTTTGCATAGTATTTCCGTAAGTATTGACTTGGTGAGGGTAAAGGACTAGTCTAAATATTGCTAACTGACAGGAAAGATACAAAAACAGTGCATAAAAACGAGTACAAACATAGGAGAAACCTACTGTCTTAATTTAGTTTGATCAAACGACCATTTAGAAAGATAAGCATTAAATACAGACAGGGAACTCAACGATATCTTATGAGAATAGTAACAAGTTAGTTCATTAAATCATAGGAGTTTACTAGATGGTCAAGTTGGGACGTGAAGTACGTGTACATAAATCATTGTACTGTTTAGCAGTCAGTCATAATAAATGTACGATTTGGAACATGTGTGGGTTGTCGATGTAACGACACAATCTTGAACACTACGTGATTGTACTCAACGACTTTCATTTCTTTCTACCACAGTTGGAGTTAGTATTCCCATCGTGATCTTGTTTTGGATTTCTCCTCATTGTACTGGTACTAAAAGGAGCAACTATTATTAGCATTTATACTGTCTTAAATAACTACTGACGATATAACTTGTGCAAATATTCGAGGGTTTATGAACTTTAGGAGCGAAATATCCCTGAAGATATATGGAGCTGATCAGTGAAGTTTTAGCTATTGTGGAGAGCTAGACGGGAATATTTGCAGAAACAGACAGTGAAGAACAACAAATATAAGACGACTAGTGGTTTAGGTTACCACAAAATAACAACTGAAAATCAATTGAAATAGGGTGATATGAGTACTGAGAAAAAATGAACGAACAGTGGCTCAGATACAGTAGCGAGGTGATCAAGAACTGGAAATAAGTGGAATATAGTCCGTTGTCAGTTGGAAAAGATTAGATACATAAATAAGTTTGTCTTTGGGACTGCAGTGTGATTCTCCATAGTCAAAATGAGCCAGAGAGCATGCGAATCCTGAATAGTATTTGTTTAGATTACATTATTTTTAAGAGGCTTTCAGGCCACTAAGAGTATGGTTACACAATAAACGATGAACTTGGGCAAAAGATATGTTAACCTCATTGCCTTTACTATATGAAGCAGAAACTGGCTTGATTTCAAAGATCTTCTTACTGGAAATAGTTGAAATTCGTAGGAGCTTCATCACTAATAGATCTTAACTGGTCGGTATTGTAATTTTACATAAGTGCATATTGCTTCGTCGTCATCACAACTTTTCGTTTAACAATAACCTGAGAAAGACGGCATAACATATTTAAAAAAGTCGAGATTACACAAGCATAAATTGAGACATCACTACTTGACATAATTCACAACGATCACGCAGTAACTCACAGGCACTCCAAATCCGGAGATCTGAACTTCCCGCCCGTTTATGAGAAACCCAAACTTACCTCACTCTCGAAATTTTTAATAATTTGAATTCTTAGGTGACCTCGATTTTTCTCTTATATCACCCTGGTTGTTTTGTTTTAATTAACCGCCAAAAATGAAAGGTGAGCGCTACATAATGTGGTGGTTTTTTTGGGGTGTTTAATTGGGTTGATTGTGATTGTTTTTGGGTCTAGAACCTGATTATACTGTATCACCTAGTGCTCATCATGGTCTTCAATGTGATGGTATTGGTGTGATGATACAGGCTTTCGTTGTGAAGTTTAAAGCAGTTACAACGTTCCCACCGGTTTAATTTTTTGCTCAACGATATTTTGCTGCTCTTAAGTTTTCTTTACAATAAAGCGATGAACTTCCTAACTTACGTTGACGTGGTGTGATGAATTTTTCCTATTTGAGCGCTCAAGTGTGCACAGAAGATATATATGTACCTTTCTAAATGACTCGAGTCACTTTACCGATAATTTTTTGGAAAAAGTACTAGTAAAGTGTGCTTTATTGGGATGCATTTCCGTTTTTCAATTTTGGCACTCTAAATTGGCTGTAGTTAAGAGGGAGTAAAACTCTGATGGTCAAATCGCATAACATATGCGTCGTAAATTTTACCGCTCTCAATATGTTGATGATCCTTTAATTTGGAGAGATCTACAAGCGACTAACCTCACAAAACATTAGATATCCCGAATAATGCATAAACGTAGGGGTCAAAAGATTCCGTTCCTTTTTTAACACTAGTATTAAATACTAATGTATAATAGGAATAAATCGATTTCGTACTTTGGGGGATCTTAGTACCACAATCCAATATTGGTGTCTCTTCTCATTGTCGTTCGCCGCTTGACGAGGCATACTCTTAATTTCTCTCTTGGTGTATAAGTTTGGTTAATGATTTCGTTACTCCCTTTTGAACTTCAAGTAAGCTGGATGAGTAACCTAAGCATCCCTATCTAAGTAGTTTAAAGGTATGGAATGCCTCTGTAACGTCAAATCCTTTTGTCTTCTGGATCTCAATGTACTATGATTTGAGGTAAGCACAATCTAATTCTTCAGTTTATTGCATGTTCGGAGTTTAAGAATATTTGGAGTTTGTCTAGCGTTTTACTTGAAGCTCCCAAGTCAATAAGCTCTTGCTAATTCCTAGATGCTTCGGCGTTTTGAACATTTTCCTGGTCTACGTAACTAATTCATCAATATATACTATATCGCTCTAAGCTATCGGCAAGCGGTAGATAATAACTGTTGACATATCTCCAAAGCTATTCCACTTTTGAAAGGCTAGTGCATGAGTCATTCATTGGCGTATCATGCGATACGAAGGTTGTCAAAAGTGCCATTCTTATCTTATTAATTTTAAAAACAGTCTGAATCAGGTCATTTCTCGGTATCTAAATACCTGTTTGATGAAGCTTCATTATTCCTTTTGGTCATTTACGTAGTATCAGAAAAACCGTTCTGGACAAGTTTTAGTCATATACTTTCTGTCTTTCGTTTATACCACAGCATCTTACAATTAATTTTTAAAGGTGATCTCTATTTCGCAACACAACGATGAATGTCAGATGACTAGTTGTCAAAATTGAATTCAACAGATAGTTCCTCGTTTTAATAGACTTCCTTGAGGTAATCACGGAGCGAAAAATGTTTTTTTTTCATTTTTCGTGGTGTGACGAAATGCTTGTTCTGTATTTCAATCAAGCAATCTAGATTGATGAACTAGTCTTTAAGTAACGTCATTCCTGCTTTTCAAGTTATCAGCGTGCTATATTTTGTGTATCTACACTGCCAGTGTGATAATCGATAAATGTACTTAGTGAAATCACTATAGGGGAATCATGTTTCGAATTTTCAAATCGTCAGTTAACAGTTAAACGCTTTAGCCACTACTCCATCGTTTTCAAGCAGAACGGGCTCTGCTAGACTGGATTTTAGTAGATAGTCGCTTTTGCGCTGTTCGACTAAACGAAATAGTAAGAACTCGAAAAAATAGAGACACTCGGTTTCCATTTTGTTGTCTCTGTTGACATTTCCACTGTTTGTAATTAAGTTAAAGATGAATTTTATAAGAAGCTATCCAACCTCCTTCGAAAAGCTCAATGCGTTGATGTGGTGGTAGTAGTAGTAGTAGCAGGTGATTTTAATGCCCAAGTAGGTAAACTAAACTAAACCGAAATGCACTTAGGCGGATCGTACGTTGTCGTTGCCCAGCGAAAAGACCATGGCGACAGTCTGCTGAAACTAGGCTTAGATAACCGTCTATTTCTAGCAAACGCCAACTTTGAACACAAGGAGAAACATCTGACGTGGTGACCACCATCAACTGATCAATGGATTCAAATAGATCCCATTCCCATTAGCCATCGTTGGAGGGACTCGAAAGAAGGCTGCGCTCATTCTGGATCACATGTTTGAACTCAGATCATGCTATAGTTCAAACACGTATTTGTCTTCGTCTTACTGGACGTAGAAAAGCCAAAGAAAGTAAATCCCTTCGAATCCAACCTAATAATGAAAAAAAATTGGGGATATATTTCAGGAACAACCAAAGAAGAATTTAGTCAGCCGTTGCACAAGCGAGTGGCTATCAGGACTGAATGGCACACTGATTTAGGTTTTTTAACTCTTATTGAGATTGCAAGGGCTATAAGCGATCTAAAGCGAGGGAGAGCAGCAGGGCCTGATGAACTACTGCGACCTGGACTTAATCCCATCAGACTGGTCTCGATCGCTGGTCATCCCATTTTATATGAAGGAACAAAAATCCTTTTGTGACAATCACGGAGGAGCTGGTTTAACTAATATAGTGTCTATAATATTAGTCTCGATAATATTTCAACGTCTAGCTAGAGCTTGTAAAGAGAGAACCCGAGAAAATCAGGCTAGTTTCAGACCTGGACGTGGATATATAGGCCGAATATCCACCTTTCTGCAGATTCTGGAACATAGACATTCTTTTGGACGTCTAACTATAGTTGTATTGCTTGATCTTGAGGCGGCGTTCAACTTTGTTGATCGCCAGGTTTTGTGGCAGTGTCTATTATTGCAAGGTGCACGAAAGAAGTACATTAACCTTGCACATGTTTACTCGAACACTACTGGTCAAAACAGAGCTTATAGCAAACAGTCGTAGTAATTGGTTACTCCAGTTCTACTTTATGGATATGAAATATGGCCATTAAGAATGAAGGATGTCCGTAGGTTACTGGTATTCGATCATAGATATTAACGAATCACTGCTTATGTATTTTGGGACCACAGAGAAAGCGATGCCTATGTTAGGAATACAGTATTTGTTAGAGATAAGAAATTGATTGATGTGGTAGTATGTCTCCATCATCTCAGGTGTTTAGAACATGTTACGTATGCACAACCACCGCCCACCTCTATGGGTGATGTTTCCTGGTGCAGGAGTAGGCTGGAAATAAAGTAGGGGCTACGAAACCAAAACATGTCATTAGTCCGTTCAGTCACTGGCAATTAGACTTAGCCACGTTAATAGGCATAGACTACTTAATTGGGGTCCGGGTGATTATCATAACCAGTTGTTAGGGTCTTTGAATGACGGCTCAAAATCGTTTACAATAGCGCAGTTGCATCCATTCTCTGTCTTTACCGGGTTCCTAAGCTTCTAAATCGCTCATAACGTTTTCTTAATTCCATCAAATTATATTTCCTTAAGTTGTATCTTCTATTTTTAATCTTTCTTGTTACCACTAATACTGTTACCACCCCTACTATCCTGAGGTTTAGCTTGGCAACTTCATCTCTTTGTTTTAATGGGGTATGACAATTTGAACCCATATGCATGCGAACAGGTCCCACATTGTGGCTGGCTGATTCTAGTAAAGGTATCTGTAGGACTGGATGGCCAGGGCTCGACTTACTGTGTCAGTTCATTTCAAAGCCGCATGAAATTTTTGTTAGCGGGTGTCAAGCTACGTAAAGCTTAGGTTTAAGACATCTTAGTAATTCTTTTCAAATTCCTAACATTGAAAAAATTACGTTCCTTTTAGTCGTTTTATTCTCTCATAATTATTTTAATAGTAATTTTATGCATAAAATGATTTGTATGGAGCTCACAAATGAAACACTAGGTGGCACTAATTGTTTAGTTTAGACAAAATTTCCTGTAAGTTGTTTTCGTTTAGCTTACCAAATTATGTAGTCACTATTCACATCAACCATACATAAACTAGTGTGATCTGGCTAAAAACTTTTCCAATCAAAGGCTATTTTCCCTAAATTTCATATTGTTTAGCGGTATATTTACACTAAATTATTTTTACGTTATTTATCAATTCTTTAGACCTATGCGAATGGGTTGAATTTTTTGAGGCTGCTGGTGTTCCAGCCAAACTAAGGGAAACATATGCTGGAATTTTTGTTGAACATCGAATTAACAATTCAGTCCTTGCTGATTTGGATAAGGAACACTTAAAAGATATGGGAATCACAGTTATTGGAGATATTATTTCCATACTGAAGCAATGCAAAAAAATAAGACACGAGGCAAGTTGTCTATTTTCCTCGAAGTTATTTTGTTTAAGTTATCAGTTGCACCAACTCCTGTTGTCACTTCAACAACGTCGAAAGATTGCTCATCTGAAGATAAAAAAGCTGCGTCCAAAAGTATTTAATTATATGTTAACTTAGTTTTAGATTTAGATGTCGGCGTTTTAGTCCAGTGCGTCGTCGAATGAATCCTGAGGTTGAAGGAAAATATATTGTTAAAATGCCCAAGGGGACGACTTTAAAGACGCAGAAAATTCTTGCATCCATGAAGCAAAAGAGTATGTCTATCTATTAATATATATATATATATATATATATAATGAGATGATTTGACTTATCTACTGGTCCCTTACTTGTTTTCCAAGTCAAATCAATTCACAAGATGACAAAATAAAATTAAGTTATATCCCAATGAAAGTATCACCTCATTAAGATACCAAAGAAAGGAGATTTTTGCAAATATGAGAACTATAGATGAATCACACTACCAGGAAAAAATTTCAATTGTGTTGCTGAACCGGATGAAAGATTCAGTAGACGTCCAGCTTCGAAATCAACAGGCCGGATTTCGTAAGAATCGGTCATGCATAAACAAAATCGCGACTCTACGGATCATCGTTGAACAACCAATTGAATGGAACTCATCACTTTATATCAACTTCCTTGACGATGAGAAAGCGTTCGACAGTGTAGACAAGAGGACTTTATACCATCTTCTTCGACACCATGGTGTACTTGAGAACATCTTCAACATCATCTGGAATTCATACTACGGACTACACTGCAAAGTCGTTCAGGCACACCAGCTGACAGATGCTTTCGAAGTGAAGACCGGTGTCAAACAAGACTGTCTACTCTCGCCATTTTTCTTTCTTCCGGTGGTTGACTGGATTATGAAGACCACCACATATCAAGGGAAGCACGGGATACAATGACAGCTTGCAAGCAACTAGACGACTAGAACTTCGTAGATGACCTGGCTCTTCTATTCTATACACAGCGACAAAAGTGGATGAGGATGGCCAGCATAACAGCAGCGTCCAATTAGTGAGTTTTAACATACACAAGGGAAAATGCAAGATCCTCAAATACAACACAGAGAACACCAACCAAATCACATTTGATTTAGAAGCTCTGGAGCAGGTGTAAAATTTTACGTACCTGGCCAGCATCATTGATAAGCAAGGAGGATCCGATGCAGAGGTGAAGGCGAGGATAGACAAAGTAAGGGCCACATTCGTACAATTGAAGAACTGTCAACCAACATCAAAGTCAGAATCTTCGATACGAACGTCAAGACAGTCCTACTACACGGAAACGAAACTTGGAGAACTACAACCACAATTAAAAAAGTACGGGGATTCATAAACAATTGTCTGCGTAAGGTACTTAATGTTCGTTGACTGGATGCCATCAGCAACAGCCTAATGTGGGAGAGAACAAACCAACTCTCAGATGAAAAGGAAATCAGCAAAGGACTCTGGATGTGGATAGGACACACATTTCGGAAATCATCAAACTGAATCAAGGGGCAAGCGCTTACCTGGAATCATGAAGGGGAATGGAAAAGATGAAGGTCGAAGAACACACTGCGTCGAGAATTGGAAGTAGACATGAGAAGGATGAATAACAACTGGAAAGGATTGACCAGAACAGGGTCGGATGGAAAATGCTGGTGGGCGTCCTATGCTCCTCCATGAGGCATAACAGGTATAAGTAAGTAGTGCAAGTGTACTCATAATTATAGACTGGTTACATCTCATGCTATCTAAGTTACCATGTTAAAAGTGTAGATATTCATTGAACATAGTTATTGTAGTTCATGGTACTTATCAGTTTGTTGAAATTATCAGGAAATTGCTATTAGACACTGAAAAGTTTTGTATTTTTATTACAGATGGATTTCTTTAACATTTTTGTATTAGGAAAATGAATTAATAGTTAAGGAACCCCACCGAGTCATTGGTTTGATGGTTCAAATGCCACTTCGTCTACTTTGGTTTGTACATCTGGATACATAAACCTGTACTCGTCAGTTCTGCGTATAGATAGATTAGTTTACTTGTATGGCTAGTAGTGTCTAGTTCGACTTGTATAATAGTTTGTACGCTTTCATGATACGTTCTTAAATGGATATTTATTGTGACGACTTTATATCGAGTAATATCTGTATATGTTACATAGTATTCTATTGTTTTTATTTGAATTTTTTGTACATTATTCTAGACAGTGCAAAGTCTAGTCAATCTGAAGTTGCCAAAGCCGCCAAAACTAATGAACCTCCTGTATCGTCTACCTTCGAAGACAGCGATGTCGATGATTGTGATAATTATCGTGTTATCATCTCTAAGTAGTTAACTCTAATTTACTTTTCTATCGTTTATATATTTTACGTTGAAGTTGTAATCGGGATTTTAAAAAACTCTAGACAAAAATATGTTATCATTGTCAGGATTTTATTGAGGCACCAACGCTGTTAGTTGGTGTTACATTGTACAGTGTGCTATTTTTAGAAATTTCATACACATAGTTCCCTTTATTTTCTTGAAGAGAGCAAGAACGAAGATTGATGCAGGATAATATATGAATTCACTTTATTTCGTCAAGTTCTCATCAGCCGTGTACAACTTATAATATTTTAGAATCAACATTATTACAGATATTTGCATACTTATACCTACGACGTTAATTAAAGATGAATATATGTATCATGATGTAGCGAAGATTTCAATAGAGTTAATATGGTCATAAAAATTTTGTTTCGGATAAAGCTTGTGAAGGAAACTTCCTGAGCATTGAATTAGTGATTAGAACTCATGGAGTTAACAAACATTAGATGATTATAGAACGAAACAACTGAAAACAGATTAATGGTAGTAAAGAAATGTCTGAATTGAAATCAGTCAGCTATCAGTTAAAGAAAAACGACAACGATGTAATCAAATTTAAGGAGTTGAAATTGATTGTTTTGATGAATAATACCATTTTACCTAATCTTTTTAACTTACCTTTGTGATTCCACGTCACTCTCATGCCATTCCTCCAGCCTTTGACCTAAAGGTCTAATCCACAAGGCAGTGAAGTAGCGTCAGGAGATGTAGTCTCATGGTAGCCGGTGATCAACAGTAGATTCATACGCCATTTATTCCCTCAAGATTATTGAGATCATTTGTTACATTGGTTTCGGTTTCCAAACTCTGCTAGATAAATCCTCCATTCTTACCAACTCGGTTAAGTCGCTGAACAACCACTTTTCGTCCTGTCGAGTTCGTAAGCAAGACAGTGAGTAGGAGTTCCCTGGTAGTGGCTGTATACGCATAGTCATATCATAGCATTTCGGAGGGTGGGTGGACTCTTCCCACCTCATGTACCAGGGCATTTGAGAGCCTTATACTTATTATTCTACGCTGTCAAATGTGCTAAACGATACATAAGACTATTTCAATTGGAGTATTTATTTTCTGTTCCATTCAGTATTTCGTACGTGAGGTTCATGCTTTATCGTAGCTTTTCAATTGTCAATTTTGTTTTTCTGTTATTTATATTTGTAACATTGTTCTTAAACAATTGTTTTTTGTTTACTTTCAATTTAAATATTAGATCAAATGCACATGGTTCCACATCTAGTGATTCAGTATTCAGTCGTTTAGGTAATACTGTAAATAGAGAGGATTCACCTACAAGTGTACTTATAAAAAAAACGACAGATCCATCTGCTGCAATGCAACGCTTTATTCGTTGGAATTTAAATGACAGTAGTCTTGGATCACCTTTTCGTCCTTCACCATCTGTTGCAGAAACTATTATGAACTCACCAGAGGATTCTTTGAATTTTAAAGTTGTTAAACAAGTTAGCAGTCTTACAAAAAGCCTTGATCAGTCTGTTAAATTAAGAACACCCCTTAAACGACATGTAAGTATTCATTATCTGTGTCTCACCAGTGTGCAAAAATTCATATCTTTGTCTCAGTAACAGGAGATGGTAATTGTTGATTGATGGTTCTCTCGCTGTAATAAATGATTTTGTTTTAACCATCAATTAACTTCTGATCTCAAGTCAGTACATTTAATCAAAAAACCTCCATTTTAACCTTTCGAGTTTTTGACATGCTTTAAGTGAAGGGTAATAATAATACACGTTTGTCAACTGGAGTTAATAAGGTGGAGTTGCAATGTTCGGCTTTGTGTTTGAATGACATGTTTTTCAACTACTAAACCACTATTTATTCTTTTAGAAGCTGATATTCATTACCAGTTTGCACCAGGCTTGTGTACGATTATGTCAGAAAACCATTGCAAATTACATGAAGGTATTCGGTAATATATTTTTAGATGCAGTTGTCAACTCACAGTCATGAAAGCTTTCTGTTAAGAATACTTCAGTCTCCTCATCCGAGGCAATATTAGCTCATTCGAAGGCATATAAAGACAGTTAGAAATCATACTCTAATCATTGTATTTTATTTTTTAACTTAAATTCCGTTTTTTTTTCATATCTCATTTATTTTTATTGTTATTTATTCAATTATCATTGTGTACACAGGCTTCTGATACGGTATTTAGTCGTTTAAGTGCTCCATCAACTACTATACAACCAAATGATCAACTCTCTTACCAAGGAATTCTGAAGAAGTCACGAACGCAACCTCCTAAATTTAACAATGAATCGATGTCTCCATGTTCTCTAAATAGCTTTCTTTCTCCACACACCGAAGGTGTACTTAGCCACAGTCGTATGCAAAAAGTTTCTGTAAAAAACCGCTTAGGTAATTGATTTATTCATTTAAGAAATTTGTTTCGCTTAATTCTTATGCCCTACTTTATTTTAATGTGTACAAAATATGAATTTATTGAATACAAATTGACGTTTTTCCCTATTCTGTCGATCGTCTGTTACTATAATCTCTATTCTTACATGATAGGTGGAGCAGTTTTTATTTTATGGCAATGAAATGTTTAATAGCCCCACCTAAGTTTTTGGTGTAGTTCTATGATTGTTCATTGGTCCACCTACTAGATCTGTTGAATGGATTTGACTGCTCAGATCGAAGTCAATGGATTTCATACCCTATTGATAAAAAATAAGATCCACAGACGTCTGTGCTACGGTTTATCCTTCTATTGATTTATCTCTCAATCTCAAAATCAACGTGAATTGCTGGGCCATGTCCTTTAAAACCTAAATCCACTTTATTTAATTTAAACCATACAGAAGTCCGTCATTTGTAGTCTAACTTAAACTACTACATTGTTAATATATTATTGCGAACTGTTTTAAGATTTATTCATAGACCTGTTTACAGTCACTTGTGATTCCACACTCTATCCTTCAATAGCATAAGTCCCCACTGACCTAATTCCTGCCATTAAAATTCATACTCTACTTCTTAAATACCGATTTCTCATTTTTTATTTCGCATTTCGGTACGACCTAGCGGACAAACATTTTCCTTTTAGAGATAAATGTTCTATAGTTATGGGTACGATGATTTGTATCAGACTACAAAGTTAACGAAAACAACGAAGGTGGTTTAGTTGAAACAGACTCCAGTAAATTGTATGATTCTTTCTACATATATTGGGAATTTCGATCAATTTGGGTTCTGTATTTATAATGTTCTGCTCCATCAAGAAAATATTTCAGACTTTCGTATTATTAAAGAGGATCATTTTGACAGACTGTTTTCATAATTCACTACATGAATACTATTGAATGATTAAAGATTATATCTCTTTTTAGGTTTTAAACAAGGAGTTGATTGTTGTCTTTTGGCTATATAAGCATTACATGTAACTAAATTCCTTAGACCATAAAGTATGTTATATGTAGTACATTATTATTCTGAGTGAATATAATTTGGACTTAATTCAATCTAGGTTTAGGAGATTTGCTTTAAAGATTTTATTGAGATGTGTTGGTAGAATTTGAATCATAAAGGGCTGATTACTTTATTAAATTATCAAAAGTTTGTCTCCCTAATTTTTTGGTTTATCTTGTGAATCCCTATCTCTTTAGCGAATCGTTGGATGTTAACGGCAATTATTAGAAGTTCACAGTGATATTGATGTTCGAATGCTTAGTGCACATCAGTGGTGCATCAATTTGACAGTTGGTTTCTCGCTCATGGATTATTTGTTTCACTGGGGTTTCGATCACACTTCTAAATAATTGTTTCCACATCTTAGAAGTAAATGAGAAAAAAATTACATTATTGCAACAAAGAGTTTCTTCCAAAACCTAAAGAAAGGAAAATTAATTGTTTATTAAATTTATTGTTAAATTCCTTCAATCAGTAAACTGCCTTCCTTTATGAAATGGTGGAGATTTGTAGCTCAGGTGGATGATTCTTACTTCTACCTGAATTTTGTGCCGATTATGTCGTTTAGAATAACAATGAAAGCTCCACGAACAAACCATTCAGCTCAGAGAACAAAACTCCATAAAAATGCCTTCCTCTATATTTTATAGGATTGTCAATGTGACTACTTATAAGTAGTCAAGTTTAGTTTCCATTTCTTCTGACTTTAAGTACACAAAGCTATATGCGATTTTCTTGTAGCTTTTAAGAAATTCCCTTATGAAAGTCGATATGTAAAATACACAATACTTTGTTTGTCAGTAGAAATATATTTATGCTCTACAAATATTTTGATGTTTGGGTTTTTTAATCTAGGAATGTTTGCTTGCATTCTCAGTTTTACATGAAGGTCCAGATACCTTAAAATTAACTTATCAAATCATTCTAATGTCAGTCGTTTTGGTGAGAAAAATATCACACAACTGTTTCATTATTTTAAGTATATGTATATACACAGTTTGATCAGTACATAATCTATTTTTTCAAGTTATACAAGAACAATTTTTCCCATCAATATTTTACTTAAATTTTCTTTATGTTTTAGGCAACAGACAAGGAAAGTCTAACGCTCCAGTTCATTCTAGACTTGGTCGAGCATCTAATCCAGTATGAATAATCTGATTTTCATGACTTTTACCGAACTTAGTGTATATATACATAAATATATTTCGCATACCATAAAATATAATTTTAGGTATCCATTTAATTCTTTTTTATTCACATGAAAGTTACTAAATTTTCTTTTAAGTACTTCAGCGAGCAAGTCAGTGTATACATCATATCAAGTTATTTCGTAAATAGACTATTTAACAAGTTCTCATCTAACTTAGATGTTGAATTTCTTCAACTTGTTTTCTAAAATTTATGTGCGAATATATGTGCATCAAACGTTGCATAGTTGAATCGTCTATGAGTCTGTATATCTCATCTGTATCGGGATTATTTTTAACTATTACTAGTTAGTGTTCTAGATTGCGTTCATTTACCGTCTGTCCACGAGATTCAATTTTAATTTATAAACACGTAGTTTAATTTCACTTAAGCAAATTTGCGTTGAGTGTGTTAAAAAGCTTCGTTTTCTAATTTTAGCAGTTATTTGAAGGATTAAAGGATCTCTTTGGTAATACCGTTAACACTGACTACAGAGAACTATAAAACTCAATGCAAGTGAATGGAGCAATAGCATTTGAACCTGGTGGAATGTACGTATATTTGTGATATTTAAGTGATCGATACTTCCCAGATGTTCTCTATAAAGTGGAGGAAAAACTACTGTAATAGCTGTTTGTGGATCCTTCTTAACAATTATGTTCGGTGACCCATTATTCTAGTTTATTGGCTATAAACACTGATGACTAAACTACACAATATACTGCTAACCTCTTTTGTGGCCTTTATAGTTAGGATGATTATTTTGAATTACTCATCATCATGTAGTGAACTAAGGCTCAGGTGGGGAGATCAGTTTATTGTTTAATGCGCAATCACACAGTGGTTTAGCGAAATGTAAAAATCACACATCGAATACATTATTTGAACATCTTTAAGTTGTCTCTTACAAGTTTTATTGTTCCTTCATTCGTGTTGTTATCTTGATTGCTTCCAGTTTCCTTTTTTCCATTTAAATTTTCTCGACTTTCTGCTGCCAAGCATCCCACTTCTGATTGGTGTTACATACTACTTATGTCGACAATCATAGGTAGCACACACCACAATAATAATCTTAGGTGTCAGTTTCACTTTAAACAATTCTTGAGTTTGTAAAAGCTAATTAACCATATGAAGCAACTTAATTTGTATGTTATTATGTGAAAAAAGAAGAAACTGTATAGACATCAGGTATTCTCAAAAAATAAGCAACTTATTTACTATTATTAAGACAAATTAGAAAACTTGAAACAATCATGTGGATATCTATCAAATGTAGTCTTCAAAATAAATAATTATTGCTGTTTCTAAAATAAAAATGACAGCAGATCATTATTGGTCATTTCGTGATTAGTCACTTTTGAGATAGTACTGCTATGTAGAGCTGAAGGTCTCATATGAGACTGGAGGTTCGCTATTGATATTCTGGGTGGTTCCGCATTACTTTTGTCATGATTTTATGCCCGGCTTCTTATAACGTGACTTATCCACCAATCAAAATACGACTTATACAATCTTAGCATTGTGCCAAACCAATGACGTTCGACCGGTATGAGCAGCCTAGCGTCCTTATTGGTCCTATGTCCGCCTAGCCCGTCCACTTGAGTCCAGAACACAATACCAGCTTCTGCAATATGAATCATTTATTTCAAACATACTCGGTTTATATATCAACCAGACAGACCACAACGTACCATAAAATAGAAAATAACATGTGTACACAATAGAGCCAAAAAGTGGCTGTGAATGAGGGAGATAGTAATTAATAGACAGGCCGTAACTCAAGAATGATAAATCATGTAGTAATAGTCTATGGGTTAAATTAAAGCTTATAATAAGAAGAATACAAATATACATAATCTGATTATTGAAGAATTATACAATGAGAATATTTATAGAATATTAGTCAATTAATAGTCCTCGGAAGTTACCTGTAATTTAATCTTCACTGGGATATAACAACTCTGGCAAGTTTTGATGACTGTTCATACTCAAAATTGGTTTGCTGATTAACCGATTTCATTTATACTGGTGGTTACTTTTCAGTGTTTTCAAGGGCCATTGTCATTGGGTCATTTTAAGGCATGTCACCATTGCTAACATTAATGAGTTTGATTGTCGCGTAAACCGAATAGGTCAACTTTGGCCTGTTCGTGCTGTGTGTGATTGATTCACGCAATCAATGATCGGAATAATATATGTGGTGTGTATGAATGATGCGAATGGTCCACCAGGGTGTTGGGTACCTGTGTCATTGCGCCACAGGATTGAGCTGTACTATTCAGATTGTAGCCTATATGGTGTCTGTATGTGAGCTGTACTGCTCGAGTTGAGCCTGGGAGGTGTCTGGCTCTCCTGAGAAACGGGATTAAGCTGTACTGTTTGGGTTGTCACGTGAAAGTCTGGGTGGTGTCCGGTTATCCTGAAAACCAATATAAAATTACTCTAGCCTATAAGGGTATGTTATATAACTGTGAACTTGAGTATCAGTGTAACAGTTAATAATAGTTATTTGCAAGCCTCTTATTTTATTGATTATTAGTTATATTAACGCTACTGCACTCTGAAACTAGCCTTCAAGTACACTGTTACAATTTATGTATTGTTGAACACACTCGTCGAAACAGATGTGATTCACCTTGTATAAACTACTCACTTAAATCGAGAAGAAACTATTTTTTTAAAACTAAAGAATGATTTATAATGCGAAAAGGAATTTCAAATAATCTTATTTTATCGGATATAATTTATTCTCTTGTATTTCCTATCAGAACTAACCATAATAATTTGCATGCAGAAGCCATACAACTGAGTTTAAAATTTTCTATTACTATTCATAGTTTACTCTTGTACGTTTTATTATATGCTATCATTTTACTCAGTAGCTAAGTGGATAACGCGACGGCGTTTGAAGCGAACGGTATTGGGTTCGAGTCACAGAGTGAACATCAACTCTGAGGTGCAGGTACATCGAGCTGACGTGTCCCAAATAGGACGAAACACTCGTCCTGGATTCGAATGCTAGCCATTATCCATCTTTGCTTATATTGCTTGTGAATTAAAGCAATACTCACAGTATGCACATATACCAATAACAGACTGATCAATTGCAGTCTTAAACATCAATGGGAAGATTCAAGTAAAGAATATCAAGTGAATTTTACAAAGTTGTTTTGATTATAGATTATAAGTAACATTTATGAAGAAAATGTTTGTTTTTGGATCTAAGCTTTAAAAAGTAAAATGTACACACAGTGGAATAAAGAGTTTATATGAGGTTATTTTAGATGAACATTTGGAAATATTGTGTTTTGAATAAAGAGTTATACTAGATAACTTTAAATTTCGTTTCTAATTTGTTTGTTTATTTGTATATATGTATGTTTATTTGATCAGTTGTATGTTGAGTTTATCAGTGGTACAGAAATTGTACATGTTTGCTCTTAAATAACTGTAATAAAAAATATTAAATACCATCAATAATGCATAACAGTAATAATAGTCTATGTGTAATAATATTATATAATTTATTCATTCAGTAATGTATAATATTTCAGTTTTTGTATGATCATTTCGTTTATTACGCTTTCTAAAACGTAGTAAACGATTTGACAAAGCTGTTTTAAATGATCCAGTCAATATACTATACACAACGGGATTTACACACGATGCAGCAAATGATAATGTTTGTGATAATAGTTTTGCTATTTTCATTGCTGGTACAAATGGAAAACTAGCTTCATCAAAAAAGAACCATGAATTAATTATATGTGTTGGTAGCCAACATACACCCCATAATGTAGTGACTAATACAACCAGTTTAGTCGCTTTAGAACGTAAACGTTTTTTCTTTAATTCTCGTGTAGCACGTATCAATTCATTTGGATTTTGTTGTATATTTTCATGGAAATCACACTTTTGTATACAATTTTTTGTACTAGAACGATGCCCAGTTCCAATATTACTAGTTGTACTAGTATTATAATCTGATATCGTAGTATCATCAGATAATTGTTGTTCTAAGCGTTGTTGTTGGCGATGATGATGAGGATGATTGTCATAATTGTGGGATATATTTTCATGTCTATCGTCAAACCTATGTGATCCACACTGTTGTTGTATACTAAATAATCTTCGTTTCTTTGTTGATTTTTGACTTGAATTAAATGATTCATTAGTGTTACTGTTATTATTGGTAACACTGTTATTGTTGTTTCTTGTATAAATGGAATTGTCATGCAAAGAAGTACGTTTTAATTGACCTGTTTCTCGTTCTGCCACATTCTGTAGATAAGAAGGAAGAAATGGATGTTCAAATACAGTTTTTTAGTGGTATACAAAATGAAATATTGATTTAATTAAAATTGGACAGGAAAGAAAACTTCTAGATAATTAAATTCATAGTGTTAATAGGGTTAAGTGATTTCTAAAGTTTATTTCTTAAGAAAGAAGATAATTCCATGTGATCTTTGGCTTAAGTTTGAACAGAAAATTTCAAAATAGTTTCGATTCAAAGCATATGGGGCGAGACGGTAATTTGTGGACGAGACAGTCAGAAGCGTTAAAGGGGTTTCAAGGTCACGGCGCCAATTCTAGTACCTGATGCTCACGTACGATCGATTTACAGTGGTTTTTAAAGAAGATGTGATAAGTGAGCGGCTATAACAAATGGGATTACTAAGAAGTCCTTTTATCTGTGACTGTGGTAATCAAATAGACAAAACAGTAGTCAGGAAGCGAAAATTTAACAAAGGACGTAATATTAAATAAGATTGGAGAAGTAGCACTATCATAAATATATCTCATAGGTCCTTGGAATTTACGACAGGTCAACCCAAAAAAGACACTTTCAAAGGGTCAGAAACTGACAGGCGACGATAATAATACTAATTATATGGGAATATGTGCGGCCAGGTACTACAATATATACAGACGATTGGAGAGCGTACAGATGGCTGCATAGACTTGGTTATGTGCATCATGTCGTTATCTACAAGCACCATTTTGTGTACCCTACAACCGGAGTGCACACTAACAATGTTGAAGCTATGTGGTCGAGACTGAAGGAGTTTTTACGACCTTATCATGACTCGAGAGGCCGACTATTATAGAGCCATATGGATGAGTTCCTCTACCATATACATTACGATTTCCGAACATCTTTCCAACCTTGACAAGTTTTTGAACCATGTAAAAGAAATGTATCGACTTTAATTCTTTGGTTTTGTATAATATATTTTTACTTTATACTAGCTTTTTTATGATTGGTTGATACTTCTCAAGTTCACTTAAGATTCGTTCAAAGGTCGTCCATAGACTGTAGTTTCGCCAACTGTCATTCAGTCATTTTTAGGTGTTGACTAAATTGTTACTGATCATTATGTAAGACTACTTATAATCATTAGATTCTTATCAGAATAATGTAGATAACTTTTGAATAGATTTCACATCAAATGGTTCATATTCACACAACGAACTGAATTTTACATTTGAACATGAGAAAACAGTTATTTAGAAGTGAATTATTTTCAGGGTTACTTGTTTTCGATTATTCCCCTGAAGAAGTTTAAACAAGACTGCGAAGAGTTTATTTCAGTCGTTCAAGTTCTTAAAAATGCAGTTTGATAACAGAGGAATCATATTGAATATATCGTAGTTTATATTTAAGAAACGAAACGGTGAGATTATTGTTTCCAATAGTTAATTTGAGCAAACTACATCCAACTTTTATAGATTTTCTGAGGGGTCGTTTCTTCCTAGTATCAGACTACTCAGCAATGCGAAATCACGATCTTGCACGTTGTGTTTGAATGTAAGACATCAGGTCTTGCGTGTGAGGTCCTAACCTATAGAGCACTGAGCCGGCACCCAACTGCAATCTCCACAAATCTCACAAACTAGTAACAGTCATGTGCTCATTAGTCATTAGCTCTAAGATGTAACTCCTTGGATTCTAGCGAAAAGTCGCGACCAGTAAATTTCAACCGTATATGGTATGAGACAGTCATTCACTGCAGACAGGAGACTGAAATTCTTAGGCTTGAGTCCCGAGTGTGGGATCGTGGATACTCAGGACTCTCATATTTACACGAAATGACCGTACAAGTCTTCGATAGTGTTCTAGCTGAGATCAACTCGTAATTTTAAGTTTAAACGTATATTATTTGAACAGATGCACCGTGTGTTGATATGTCTTATATTTCTTCCTCAATGAAAATACTACTCATTCACTATAACATGAATATTTGGTTTAATTAGACACATGTCATTTAACGATGGGAATACTGTCACAAATTTCATCAAAAACAGTGAATATTTAATATTTAAACCAAAAAAAAAACAACTTGAAAAAATTGTTGTGACAGTATTTGTTTTTCAAAATAATTAAGATCCTGTCAACTACTCAGTTTTGAATAATGTATATATGTGTTTACTGGATGAGTAACTTTCGAATGAGATTAGGTTGAAATTAGTGGACTGTAAAAGTTAGGTTTACAACTAATCATATACTACTGACACCAACAGTTAGTAATGTAAGCGAATAATACAAAGTATGCAGTTCCATTTGTTCACATATTTTGTCTTTTCTGAGTTTCCTAATATCTGTAATGTCATCACGGACTAATTTTCGTTAGGAAGCTACTTAAAACTTCAAATTTATTAATTATCATTTCCTCTCATTATTTTACTACTTAACAACATGTACCTAAATTACTTTATAAAGCCCTATAACAAAAAAATCTATGAGACTATAATTTATAGACGACCTTTGAGCGACGCTGGAGCGTCCTTGAGTATGTTCACCTACTTACTAGGGCTAAATGAGGAGTTTAGGCCGGTGTGAGGAATTAAGATTATGATTTAAGGTTTTCATTACAAGCTGACATAAACTAAAATGCGAAAACACTATTTAGCCAAATGGATGAATGAATTTTGTGCTAAAATCCAAGACCTATTATACCTAAATTTGATTGGTTTGTCCATAATTTATAGTCTTGCCAAAAAATCTAATGAATACTTTCTATTTTAAAATCTTCACCCTTTTTATTAAAGATGACTTAATTATCATGCTTAGAAATGTAAGTTTCAGAGTTGAATGAAAAACCTTTAGTTAAGTAGTTTCAATTGTTTTTATCTCTCAAAGATAATAATTACTTATATCAGTAAATATTTTATTACAAATACAGAAATACCTACAAGCGATGATTGAAGAAATAAGTTTATGGACAGTAAATAACAAAATGAATTGATTTTTACTACTTTTGTTTGTAGTATTCAGTAGTAACAAAACAGAAAAATGGAAATCATTATTTATGATCATGGGTATTGTTTTGTTGTTATGTGAATAATCTGAATACATTTTGTAGTGGATAAATACTGTTAATTGTTGAGAACAGTAATTAAATAGAAATTTTAATAAGAGTTTTATTATATTATAAGGAAAGGAAATATTTTCGAAAACCTTTAACATGTATCAATCTAAACAAAGCATGAATATTAATGCTTATAGAGTACAATGACTTCATTGTATGACTTCATTGTATCTCTTTTCAACTATATGATGATAGTAAAATTTCGAACTAACTGAACTCATCAACTATGTTTTGAATTCTGAAAGAATTAATTGTCTATCATCGATGAACAATTTGTTTATAATGAGATTAATAATTGATGATTTAAAAGGTGGTTGAGTTATGAGTAATTGTGGTTGATAGTCCTGGTATATTGAAGAGTACCATTTTTTTAGTATTACAGTAAAAAAAAATTATGAAATATATAAGAAAACAAAAATGAAGCATTTTGTTTCCAACTTATTGAACTCACTATACTTAAATCAAGAACTTGCCATAAGAGATGTTTGGCGGGAATTTATCTACCTTTGTTTGCGTTGTTCAGCGGTATATATGGTTGAGTTTAAATGTGTTACTTTAAAAACTTTCCTCAAAAATTGATTATTTATTTTAAGGACACGATCACATTTGAACGTTAGTCAGTTAATACTAGGAAAGAATCATGTTTCCACGTGATTCATCGAAACTGTTTTCATCCTGAAAGATTTCATTTCTCTCTCATTTATTACGAAACTTTGGATTAATGATTGGACTTAGTCGATCACATCATAATGATATCATATATAATATGTACAGAATAATATGTGAATAACTATAACTACGATTGTATACCTTTAGTGAGGGATATAATGGAAACGAAAAGTCATGAATTTTCCGTAATGACGCAATGATTTTTATTTGTTTGATTTGAAAATCGTAATAAAACCGTTTCGCCCGTCACAAATTCATGCCTAGTACAAGATATCTATAACATTCAAGGAAATTTAAGCTTTCACTGAGAGCTAAATGAGTAAAAAGTGGACAATTTACATTCCTAGCCTACAAGTATTTATACTTGTTCTAACTGAGGATTAGTTACCTTAACCACTGAAACAATAGTCAGGACTTTACTGTTATTTAGTATTTTGTTGATGGTTATTAATGCTTCATTTTATAGCTTTTTTTGTTCTGAGAAGTGTAATTTTAAGTTTTATCTTTTGTAAATCTATGATGTACCATAAACCATGTATTTTTCCTAGACAGTAAAATCAAATCTGTATGAGTAAGTATACACCTTGTCTTCTCATAGACATTAATTGATTTCCTCTACAAAATGAGATCATCGAACATCATGAAGTAAATCAGCAAGATGTAAGGATCACTTCCTTATTACACAAATTTTTAAAATAAGTCAATAATTCATAGAAGAGGCGGTGTCTTTAAAAGAGATTTTTTTGATCAGTTTTAAGACATATTTGTCTTGGAATACTAAGTTATTGTTGTGAAACAAAGTGGTTACAGTGAATACTTTGTTTAGATACTGAGATTAAATGATGCAATATTCAAATGAACTTTGTCATTTTGACACTATAAATGTTTCATTTGTAATCAGATAGATAGGGTCAGTTTAGTAACCTCAACTGTAATTGCGATGAAGTAAAAAAATCAACAATCCGAACTGATCGGCATGTCTGTACTGTAGAGTTTCTTCTTAAGAAGTCAGTGTTGATTTGTCTAGATTGTAGCATTTAGTTGGAATACTAATTTCTTTTCTATATTATTTTGTGTTATTAGAAAAAAAAACTAAGGAAGTCCAGTAATTCTATTCAGAAGAATAAAGACATTTCAACAAAGAAAATTTTTCTTTAGACCATATCATTTTCTGAAGCTGTATAATCTTATTTTCTTTATATGTAGTAAAATAAACTTGTTATAAACTAATCAAAGTTTGTC